CACACTGGGCAGACAACAGGCGATAACTGGGGTGGCTGGAATTTGTTAGCCTCTGCTCAGCGTTGAAACTCCCTGCATCCCTTCCAGGGCCTCACCCCTGCGGGGAGGAGGGAGGACCTTCCAGCGGGGGCGGGAGCTGCGAGGCGGGTGCCCTCCTGGGAGGCTTTCCGGGAAGTCCCTCCAACGCCGGGCGCATGGTCCAGACTGTTCAATGCGCGCCGGCCGCCACGGGAGCCTACGGCTTCCCGGCTCCCCGAGCTCGCGCGCCCCCTGCTGGCCGCGCCAGGCACCTCCCTGCGGAGGAGCAGGGTCGAGACCCACCTGAGCTCCTCGCAGGCGTTGATGCTGGCGCCCAGATGAGGTTCGCTCACCGCCTCCGACTGTAGAAAAGCCTTTTCAAACCTGGGGGCGAAGTACGCAAAAGCCTTAGGGACCCTTACCCGTGGCGCGATGACCTGGGGTCTGCCCTCCCCCTCAGGTCCCTACCCAGACCCGGGGCCTTATAAGAAGGCTCCTCTCTCATCTGTCCCTGGATCTGGGACTCTGAGCAAACAGGATGGCCCTTCCCCAGGGACGACCACCATCCTTACCCTGGTCCCTCCACCCACCCCACCCTGGGCGAAGGATATGCCTGCACCTGGGCAGAAAGAGGCCGAGTGCCCGCACGCAGATGCGCAGCGTGGTGGCCTCCAGTTCTGCAGAGATGGCACCAGCCGCCTTCACATGCTCAGCCACGAGCTGTAAGAGATGCCACGTGCTGAACCCACGTCGAAGCCCAGATCCCACCTGATGCCCCCTGTCCCTCACCTGTGGCCCAATGACGTCTCCAACCTGCCCCGCTCTAGTGGTCTCGGCTTTAGCTTCCAGCAGCCTCCCGGCACCCCCACATCCACGGGCCACTTGCTAAGCTGGGCGCTGTGCCCTGGCACTCCCAGCCTGGCTGGCGACCCAGGGTCCCTGATTCCACCCAGGTGGGGCCTCAGGCTCTCACCTACTGGGGAAGGGAGGTCGGGACTGGATTGTATAGCTCTGGGTGTCCCCACTTGGAAGGGGACAGACACCACCTGAGGCCCAAACATACATCCCCCCTCCCAAGACTCACCATGTGGATGTCGATGGACAGAGGCGTGTGGTAGAGGCCCTGGAGCACATCGGGGGCCTCAGCGGCCACCCAGCGGCTCTGTTCCAGCTGCAGGATGCTGTCGAAGCAGCTTGTGATCTTGGTCTGTGCGAGGTAGGGACAGGGGCACAGTGAGCCCCTCCCAAGAGGGAGGCGTGGGTCCGCCTACCTTCAGAGCCCTGTCCTGGGCCCTGGGAGAAACTGACCCACCCTGCCGGGGCCCAGGCCCATGCTGAAGGCCACAGGGTGAAGAGTGGCTCTCCCCTGAGCGAGGCCACACACCCAGGGTGATTCTGGGCTCCACACTTCCCCACAGCGAGGCAGCCACATTCAGCCTGGATGGCGCCCCTCAGGCCCTGCCCCGTGAGGGCCTCACCTCTAGGAAGCTGGTGTAGTCGCTCTCCAGGCGCGCCCACACACTGGGTGCCAGGAGTGGGGGCAGCGGCTCCGTGGACAGAGTCAGGTCCGGGGCACCGAGGAAGTCAGGACTGGAAGGCAGGGTAGGGGCTGAGGGTCTGGGCCCGGCTCTGATGCACTAGCGGCTGCCCCAATTTCCCCCTGGCCAAAACCTAGGCACCCAAGCACCACACAGCTCAGGGACCTGCCACTATCCAAGCCGCGCCAGGGAGGCCCAGGTAGCTGTCCGAGGCCACACAGCAAATTAATGAGCCCCGGAGCTTAGGCACCCTCCTCCCACCCGCTCTCTGGCCTTCGGAGCTGAGGAGGGCTCAGCAGCGAAGGAAACCCACCCCGCCCCGCGGCGCGGGGCTGGAGCTGGGAGCGGTCAGCGCGCTGGGCCCCGTACCCAGGTGCCCATCCAAGGGGAAGAGTGCGGGTGAAGTCCAACCCGCGCCGGGCATCTGTGAGCCACGGTTGTGTCCTGCCTGGGTGGGGGGCCCTTTTCTAAACGCTCGACGGCGTCTGGGGACTAGCAGAGGCCTCCATCTGGGCTGTCAGGGAAGCAACCTCCCCTCAGATGCTGTCCCGCTCGCGGGACCGGGTGCCTGGGTAGCACGTAGGAACACCCCGGCGGCAGAGTACCGCGGCCCAGACGAGGGGAAAGAAAAGAACGTCAAAGTCCCCGGGATCTCTGCCGCCCACCCACCAGCCCTCTCTCGGGAAGAAAGAGAGAAAAGGTGCCCAGGGCTCCTCGGGGCGGGCGCCCAAAGGCCTCCGGGTGGGCAGGGCCAGGTGGGCGATACCGGGCCTCCCCTCGCCCGGCTCGGCGCTCCGGCTGGGGCCTCACCTGCCGTAGACATTGGCGGTCCAGTCCAGCAGGACGTAGAGCTGCTCGCAGCCCCGGGCGTCGCGCGCGAGCTCCTGGAGGCGCTGGGCCACCGCGCCGTGGAAGGCGCGCAGGTAGGCCTCCCACGCCGGGAGGCCGGCGGCCGAGTAGGCGGGCTGCACCTGCAGCCGCACCTGGCGCAGGTCGCGGCGAACCGAGCCGCCGAGCTCGGCCAGAAGCCGGGCCAGG